ATAGGGCGCCCTGATCAGCTGAGTGATCGTGTCAAAACGGCGCCCTCTACTGATATCGAAGGAAAGAACACTAAGATGGCGGCCACCAGTGAAACCATGTTACCTGATTTCTCAGTTTTAAAACAACTTTCTAAGGAGCATTTGGTTCACCTTTTGGAATCAGTGAGTATACAAATGAGTAACTATAGAGTACAGGGCTATGTGAAGCAGTTTCTTTCATTCAAACTTGTCAGAGACGAAGTGAAGTAGGCCCTAGTACTTTAGTAATGTACAGTAGGATGGGTTACTCTAATCGCGGTAGTTATTGCTCGTTCACCTTCCTGAATTATCCTATCCTTGCTGTTGTTTAACTCTTACTTTTTAACTTAATTCATAAATTTTGCTTGTGGTTCAATTTATTTTCCTCTATGATAACGCTGAATGTCTGTGTGCACACCATATGCAAGCAGGGGTGGAGTATTATACTGTTGTGTTACGGGCATAGCACAGGTGGTCATGGTGGTGGGTGTGGCATGCATGGTGCGGCACAATCAAAATCAACAGATCAGTCAATCGTATCAATTGCAATCGCCTATTGCTATCGGTTAATCCTGCAGGAGTAAAAAAAATAGTGTCTAGCCATTTGCCACCTGGGATAGAGTTCCATACGGATGCCACTTGACATCCCATGCACAAACCCTATCATCTGATCATGCCTATGAGATTGGTCTGAAAACTTCTAGGCCTAGGGGGTCCAAGTGTTTTCTAGATAGCCCTAAATGACTTGGTACTATTTTCCTTCCTAAATTGAACTTTTCTGGACATGTTTGCTTTCTGATGGCTAATAGGTAACTGTAGTCTGTAGGGCAATGTTGTATTCGAGTCCATCATAAGTCCCTGTAACTTTAGTATAAGTCCATCATAAGTCATTCAGTCTTAAGCCAATTCACAAGCTATTCAAATGAGCTGTGACAAAAGCATTCCTTTGTCATCGTTCTCCCTGTTACTTATGACTGGCCTTGTGAAGGGACTTGTGAAAGGACTTGTGATGGACTCAAATACAACACTTCTGTAGGGAATAGAACCCCTGCGTATGTCATCATGTTAGGGGACATTTCTTTCTTCCCGTTGGATAGGCTCGAGTAAACCTTTTGTGCATTCATTGTAGCTAAATTAAAATAACAAAGAATAGCCTCTGCCTCTGCCATAATGCAAGGGGTCTATGAATAGGCCTGCTGGCATCTATATATACAACTCTTTCTTCTACCTGTTGTAAGGACAGTCCAAAACAATTTCGGACAGGCAGTTTTTGCTCGTACCATTATACAGACCAATCTTCCAAGTCGTTTTTTATATCTATAAAATTTGTAAGCCTCACAGCTAACTACAGTACTACTCAGTGGGGAAAGAATTCTTTATACTAATACCACCAACTTTTCCCTTTGGTGACCTATCAGCCACGTGAAAGCAGTAAAAATGTCCTAGAAAGTCCAACTTAATGGGAAGAATTTAATAAAAAATTACTTTAAAAAGCTCCAATTTTTCAAACTAGTCTCATAGGGTTTGTGCATAGGGTGTCAAGTGGCACAAAGTGGCACAAAGTAGTCATGAACTTTGCCCTGCACTAGTGCATAAGCAATCTTTACATTTCCTTCCCAAACGTTAAGAAGGCTTGCAGTAGAAATATTGGCATTTAAGGATACCATGAGCACCAAGGGTTAGTGGTTTTAAAATTGATGTCAGTGGACAGGTACTTTATAGCCTTTACTCCAGAAGGACAGACAGATACATGTATTTTACTCCTGGATGAAGCCCTGATCTTAGACATGTTGAAATACACTTTCCCTTTTCAAAACATGAAAACAGTCTTGCATTGTATTCAACTGATGGCAGCTGGATAGATGATATCTTGATCAACCCAGGCATACGGTGCAGTGCAATCGGCGATCATGCACATCAACCGAGTTTCCCTGACACTAAGGCAACAGTTACCTGTATATTGTTGGCCAAGAAATGAACTTTTTTATGAAATGGAACCAGAAAGACTGTTTCACCACTTCCTGCCGGGGAGCCTGGTTTCGGGCACCGTGTGTTTACACGCGTGGCCGGGGTCTCCGAAATCAGACAAAGGGAACTGGGCCTTGTAGCAAAAGACCTTACTCAGAACAAAAGACCAGGCTGCTGGGCATTACCAACATTTTTTTCACTCTCAATAGTGGAGATAATCCAGCCTTGTTTTGAAACAGTATACCACAGTTTGGGGCATTTAGTGCAAGCGGATTACCACCGGGGACAAAAGCGTTCCACCACCGCAGGGATGAGCCACACAGCGCCGCTGCATGCTAATCTGGCCCCTATTGAAAAGAGGTCAGCAGGGCACTGTGCCAGGTTCGTGAACAAAGAAAGTTACATAACACCGCGCAATCTGGGCTCTTTTTACAAGGCTGCAGGCCTGGCTGAAATACTGAAGCGTCAATAGATTTTGTCTGTCAGACTAGAGTGGCCACCAGACAGTAATTCATGTGGGTGTAAATGTCCATTAATTGAAATGATGAATTTGTGAAGAATTTTGAAAACTGAACATCTTGAAAAAGTCCTGATTATGTGCACTGCATTTTTCAAACCACCCAGCAGCAAGTGGTTAATTCATGTTAATCGTGCTAAATATTCCTGTAAAAATACAAAACAAAAACCTGAATAGTTTTATGTTTTTGTGTTTTTGAATCTAAATTTAGATGCCTGAAACGAAAGATTTGGTAATAGACCCCGATCTGATGAGACCTTTGGACAGAATAGCTGGAGCTCAACTCCTCAAGGTATATGTATGAATGACACGACCAAAAAAGGGGGAAATTGAAAAAGTATTCCATTTTGGACCATCATAAACACCCTAAAAGTGTACCCTACATGTGTTTTACAAAGTTGTTCCCTCTAGGCTCTGAACCATTCTTTCCTTGCTAACACCCCCTAAAAATCAGTAGGTGCCCCTTCTCACATCATTTCCAATGTTTATCATGTTCAGTGGTGTGGTGTGTTTTCCTTTTGTGTACACCTTCAGTGATGAAGGTACAACAGCAATATTGCAGTAATTGCATAATCAAACAAGTTGTATTTTGTAATGCAAATTATCTTTTATCTCTTTGTTTATTCCAGAGACATGGTGTTGACAAAATTTTCAAGTTGGAAAGTAACAAACTTGAAATAAGTGGGGATTCGTAAGTACAAGCCAAGCATTTTATTTGGTTCGGCATACCTCTCCAAACTCACTTGAAAGTTTAAACCACTAGTTTCATAAATGTCGCCCAGGATTAGGGCGTGATGGCTTCATGCATAGAACATAATTCTGAGTATATTGGTTCCTCTTCCCTGTATATTCATAACAAACTCTTGTAGTTACTTTAAGTCTGTATTCAGTCAAGCCCCTTTGAAGTCTATTACAACCCAATCATGAAGACGTCTCGTCTCAATTAAAGCTATTCAACTACACTGCGACAAAGGCATTGCTTTATTTATCCCCCGTGACTCCCAACAAAACCTGTGGTTTGACTATTTTGTTACTGGTGGTGGACTTGAATATGCATGTAGCTGTTTTACCCACTAGCTCCTGTGTTACATGAACCTTGTCTTGCATTTTATTGCATCATATTGTTTCACTGATGAAACCTGGAAACTGTAGAATACTCAAGCAGTTTCTGTGGCTCAGTTACTGGTAGGTCAAAGCATAATGTTTTAGTATTTATCAGAGTCAAGCGAGAACGTTTAGTTGAAGCAAAAGGGTTAGAAACCTTGTGTCACATGATATTTAGAAAGTAGATGCAAGGGCGGCATCAGGTATCATTCCCTTTGGCAATAACAAATAGATGCTTTTTGCCCTGTCGTTTTTTAAATAGACGCATGTACCTAGTCAGATCTAATGTAAAGAACATCAAGAACATTGCAGGTAAGTCAAGTATTCTTGAAGGAGCAGAATTTGTCTTAATCTTTCAGCAGGTGATTGTTTGCAGTGAGTTGATAATAAGTCTTTTGCGAGTTAAATTTGAATAAAATCTAGTACACAGAGTTATCTGATTGCACATGAACATAGGCTACATGTATACATCGTGATTTGGAGCAAGCATTTGCATAGTGACCACTCTCTCTGGAATGGACTGATTCCTTTGTGTATTGGTGCAAGGCATCTCTTATGTAACTAAGCAAAAGCTTGCTCCAAATCATGAGGTATAGCAATGGCGTCTTTAGTATGGAAAATTCTAATTGTTATGTTCACGTGATTCTAAAGAACTCAGTGTACCAGTTTTTATTCAATCTAGATGGCGTCTTTAGTATGGAAAATTCTAATTGTTATGTTCACGTGATTCTAAAGAACTCGGTGTACCAGATTTTATTCAATCTAGCTCGCAGACAGCTTATTCCATGCTCACTTTCATGTGGATGTGTAAAACGAATCAAAGTATAAGAATTTCTCATCTCAAAGTTTCAGTGATAAAACATTTGGTGGGTTTTTTTGGTTTTATGTTTTGTTTTGCCTTTTTTTTTTGCCAGATCAAATTAAATGTGACCAGAAGAATGGAAGGAAGAAAAAGTACAAGATATTATTTGTGCCAAGAAAGGTGAGGAAACGAAATGAAAAGAAATTAACTTCTTTGCAGCAACAGAAATATCATTGTATGATATGCAAGGCAAGATATGGGATGGAGGGTCCCCCCTACGCATCCAAACCTTATAGACTCTCTAGACTATTGTTACCTAACACATCCCCCCCCGATGTCTGAAAAGACTTCCTGAGATTCTGGTAAAACAATGACCAACACAAAGGGGGGGGATTCTCTCCGTCCTATATCTTGCTTCAAATGTAGTTGTGTGTGGCATTTCTAATGGCTTTCATTCTTGTAGTGAGACACCTTTTTCTGTATTCCTCCATTTCAACCTCGTTAGTATCCCCCACCCACCTGTATTCTCAATTAAGTGTGTTTCTTACACTTGTCGTTTTTTGTCTGCAGTTGTACATCTGTGAAATGTTGCTTGAACAAGAAGGTGTTCATGGAGGTAGGATCAATTACTGATAGACACAGATGTAGAGTAGTTGCTATGGGGTTGAAGGTTAAAGGTCAAAACAAAGTGTTGCAGTGACTGAATTTAATGGCAGACATGGGACATTTTCCGATGCCTTATTTTTCCTGAATATAAGAAGACAACCCCTGTACACAATGCCTCATCTGATATTGACAAGACAAAAAGCTGTTGATGTTGTCATTTCATCCTTTGATTAAGGGAGCTACTTAAGTTCTTAGGAGCCTGTGTGGTGGAACTTTGATGTAGTCTCTTCTTAAGCCTGTCTGAGGTCCCTAGTTTGGACATATTTAGACCCAACTATCTTGTAGTGATTACATACAAGCTGTGAGCTACGCCGGTCAGGGATCTTCATCACAGCGTTCTACCGTCCCGCACTAAGCTTCATGAAACAGCCCACCGACCAGCCCCCAAAACTTGAACATTTTATATTTTTAACCGGAAGAATTGAAAAAAAATTTGAACTCTTAATCAATTCGGAAAGAAAAACTCACTTAAAAGGCAATCTAGAGTTGCTTAAGTGGGCCCCTGTATTCCTAGCCCTGACCCGAAAGACTCTGTTCACTTCACTCCCTCCGTTTGCCATTACTAAATTGTCCTAAACTAAAATATGGCTAGCTATAACACTGCTTACAAGTATGAATTCTGATGTGTTGCTATAGAAGTTGACACAACTACTGGGTCATTCTATAAATTAGGGGTCCAATTTTTTTCATGTCTCTGTCACACCTGACATGATTTTGCAAGTTAAAAATACATTTTCCAATTTTCAAGAGTGATGAATTAATGCAAATTACCTGCCAAGTAAGTAGAAATAGTTTGAGATCCATTTCAGTGATATTTCCATGTGAAATTACAGAGGTCAGGTGTAACAGGGACAATGTCACACTTTTGGACCCTGAATTTATAAATGACCCTCTTTTGTTTTGCTTTGGGTTTTTTTCTTTCAGCTGTTGAAATGGATGACTTCAAGCTGGATCTCATTGCCTTAGACAGGGACATCCTGTCCTTAGAAATGCCAGGATTCTTCCGAGACTACTTTGTGGTAAGGCCTTTAACCAGCCCACATCTTAAAAGCTACACAGGAGGTTTGACTGTGTTTCAGTCCCATTTCTCCCTCAAGTGATGATTTTTTTTTAATTGGATTTGTAACAGTAAAAAGACGACTTTATGTATTGTAGCTATGTCATCTGTACAGTGAATTTCAATGGGCCGTCATGAGCAACTTCAGAAATGCAAGGATATACAACCTTAAATTGCAACTGCTGTAGAAATGAGGAAAATGGTTTAGTTTTTAGAAACAGGAGAAAAAAACCCATCAAGGTCAGTTCACAGAGGTGGAGGGTGAGGGAAGTTGTTTGTCCTAAGCAAAAATCTGTGGAGAACCAATGGTAAGCAAGATACAATGCTTAGCATTTAAGCCGGTAATCAAGTATTTCTCAGCAAGCATTTTCTGGCTCGATGAATTTCTGTGACCATGATGATTCCCAACCCTGGAAATCTTTTTTAAAACAGTAAATTAAAATCCTTTGGTGAAATTGCAGTGTGTCAGAATGTGGCTTACCGTTATTAAGGGGAACCTTTTTCCAATATTTGATAAGCCAGTTATTCCTCCCAACACGCCAGATACTTGTAGATCATGCAGTCCTATGCTTCACCTCTGCCATTGCTCGTTTTACATTTTCAGGAGGGTGAGCATTCCTTACTACACACCATAGCAACTTCCATAGTCAATCTACAATCGTTGTTTGGCACCATCCCCCATATCTACGGCCTGGGGCGATGCGCTAAGGTGATCATTTTTATCAGTTTGCTGTACCCGTACGGCTCCCAAAGTGAGTCAGTTGAATATTAAATGTGTACAAATAAGCATACATAGAGAAAGAGTGCATGAAAGCTTGTTATATTTTGCTGCCGTTCAACCTGCAAACTTGATTGGAGTTTAACCCTCCCTCTCAAGCATTTTATTCAATTGAATGGATGGTGTGAACGGATTTGACAGTCGATACCTTTAGAGGGTAGAAGCCTTGTTCAAAAGTTATGGCTATGGCTGGAAATAACATGTGCATCTATGAATTCCATTTGTTGTGGGCTGTGGCCATTTTCCCATAGACTGTGTGTTACTCCTAGCTACAGCCAGTTGGTTTTGGTCAAAGGCTGTGTCACCTTTTGAATTTGATTTAACGTTTCCAGCTTGGCTTCATCACAAGAATTTCAATAGCAAAAGTGCTTCAGTGTACAGAGCATGAATTTTCAAGTTAGTGCTTGATCCTCCAATAATGAGATATTGGTAATAGCCATTTTCTCTGGCTGGCTGTTCTTCTTCCAGATGGTGTGGGACCTCGTCAACACCCTGAAAACACTGCAGGGGGAGCCCCGTGCCCCCATCCGGAATGAGATTGGCCACCTGTTCCTGATTGACCGGGAGGCTGACCTGGTCACTCCGCTATGCACGCAGACTACCTACGAGGGGCTCCTGGATGAAACCTTTAGCATCAGAAGTGGTGGGTGATGGGACATCTGTCTTGGCATCCTCCTCATATGCTCTACGTGTATGCTCAGCCCATGCCTGGGAAACTTTCGCTGAATTTTGATGCTTCATCGTCTTGAATTCATTGTGTAAACTACGAATGAAGTTTTCACTGAATACTTCCGTTGTTCTTAGGCTTTGATCACACCAAACCAAGTGAAAAGAAGGTCACTCAGTTTTGGCCTCTGAATAGCATGCTATTACAAAGTTATTGACAAATTTGGAGGAACCACCAGCACAGGGCTGGAATGCCAACACTGTCAGTACAGTGTTTCAGAGCCTCAAGGCTCAAATTCCTCCCTAGTCGTGGTTTTTTCTTAACTTCATAATTATTAGCTTAATCTTTGATGTTAGAAATTACTCAAAATACCGAGTTCAACTCTATCTGTGCGACCGCATGTTGGTCTTGGACAAGTTAGGTAGCCTCTCTTAAAGCAGAGGTTTGCAACAAATGATGTCAAGGTGTTTGAAAGGAATAACTGTGTGAGATGTCCTTGGTCTGTCTGCCATCAGGTTATTGTGAGTTTGGGCCGGAGGTGACAGGCACTGACAAGAGTTTGAGACTCTTACTGAACTGTGAAGACCAGGTACGACTTTGATTTGGTATAATATTATCGCACACTTTTTTGATGTTTGCATTTTCATGTTTTATGCAACACACTTGCATACATCCTGCGTTCATGTATTCTTTAGATGTGATTTTTGAGTAGATTTTTAAAATGTACCGTGCATGATTTCTTCAAAGAAGAGTCAAGTGAAAGATATTTGTATGTCGGGAGAGCCTAACTTCCCATTAAGGTTCTAGAGATGACAAATGGAGAGGTCAACTTTACCACATCTGAATTGTTTATGTGGTTTGTAGCATCAGGGTTCTGATGCTACAAACCACATAAACAATTCAGATGTGGTAAAGTTGACCTCTCTGCTGTGATGGTAACTTCTCTTGCTTTCTTTAAACCATCTCCTCCAATGCAATGCTGCAGATCTTTGATGATATTCGGGATCGCCATATCTCCCACGTATTTGGGTACCTGAGCTCAAAAGCCAAGATGGTCCAATCAGGCTATCAGGTAAATGAACCCTGAAATTGTCCGACTTCTCTCTAAAATTTTTGAGACTGCACAAAAGATGTTAGTTATCAAGCATACCATGTCTTGTGGTCAGCCATGGTCAGCCATTGTGTTTAAGAAATGTTATTTTTGTACGCCTGAAATTAGCAGGTTTGTGAGAATATTTGTGATTGTCTTGTCTACAAAAACATTTTATCATAATATCAAGAAAATTTTGACAGTTTTCTTAAGGTACCTTGAAGAAATAATTTGGAGGGGTTAAAGTTAGACAGTAATTCCTCGGATGTGACTTGGTCTTTTCATTGTAGAAAGGACGGGAACTTCAGAATATCGGTGATGTCAAATCCTTTGTTCAAACAGAGTTAAAGGATTTGAAGCAACAGTACAAGTCACTTACAATACGTGAGTTTTTCCGTCAAAATAAAAAAAGTAACCTCTTGATTTTCAAATCCTAACTGTTTTTTTGTCTTCAAAGTTCAGTTTTGGTAGTTGCTTTTTTTTTTCAAATATGACGTCGGCAATTTGATGAGGTTAGGATTAATCTCTCCCAAATATTAAAGACTTGAACCTTATTCCTTCTTAGAAGTACCTCAGGACAAAAGCAATGATGTACTTAATGACTGTCAATAATTACAGAGAGCTCATTTTGGGAGATCGTTTAATTATTGGATGTCTCGTGTTCAGATTTCCGTTGTTCAATTGTAAATGTGACCCACCATCCCAAAACCGGACTGAAGTAGGTAATTTCATAACCCTAAAATAGTGGAACTTCCACTCTTCAGATTTTCATGGGAATTTTACAGCTATTATTACCCGTAAGAAGCTTGCTGCAGACAGAATTTAGATTTAACGTAGATCACTTTGAAGTGTTAAAAAAAACCGATGGAGAGGAATTGTCCAACATGACAAATACCGACTTCGGCCTGGTTTGGGGATAGTGGGTCACAAATGTATAATAGCATTGTGTAGTAGCTGGTTTCCTGTCTTTGATTTCATATTTTTCCAACTTTTAGTTCAGTAAACATACTTTAATATTGTAGTCTCTTGGAATAGTGTTTAGATGTACTGAACTTATTTGATTGTGAATGATGCATAAGTCATACTTACCATGTCATTTTTAAAAATGGAGCATTTCAAAACAGCATCTTTACTATTAACAAGTATAAATATATTCTAAGTGGTTCCCAAAAGCTTTATGTTAAAGACTTCCTTGGATGGGGCGAGAACCTGGAGCCGTAGCAGTACAATAGCAGTACAGCAGCAGAGAGTGACATTGAATACAACAAAATGACTGCACACTGTGGTAGACTAATGAGAAAAGAATTGATTTTTGTTCCAAAAAAGTGGCAGACTGAATTTGATACTTGTTTCTGATGTAGATATCGGGGCCTGCGAAAGAATACTTAACCTCAAAAGCAAGCAGATCAACTTTGAGGAGCAGCTCCAGACAGAGCACAGTAAGCTCTTTTTTTGTCTTATGATTTCAGCGGCAGTAGGCTATTGATATTTGCGCCAGTGCTCAGTTGGAAAGGGCCCATCAGGGGACAGATTTAAGCTCACACTTTGCATTTGGATTGTGCTTAACCACTTCCTGCCGGGGCATTTATCAATGTTGATGATGCTGGGGCGGGATATTTATCATTTTTTTCTGTTTTCAAAATTCTTTGAAAATTCCTATCTTCATTTACTGGACACTTACAAACATGTGAAGGCATGTCTGGTGTCCACTCTAGCCACACAGACAAAATCTATTGACGCCTGAGTATTTCAGCCAGGCCTGCAGCCTTGTAAAAAGAGCCCATATTGTGCGGTGTTATATAATTTTCTTTTGTTCACGAACCTGGCTCAGTGAGCCACTGACTTCTTTTCAATAGGGGCCAGATTAGCATGCAGCGGTGCTGTGTGGCTCATCACTTCAGTGGTGGAGCGCTTTTGTCCCCAGTGGTAATGCGCTTGCTTTAAATGCCCCAAACCGTGGTATACTGTTTCAAAACAAGGCAGGATTATCTCCACTTTTGAGAGTGAAAAAATGTCGATAATGCCCAGCAGCCTGGTCATTTGTTCCGAGTACGGGCTTTTGTCACAAGGCCCTGTTCCCTTTGTCCGAGTTCGGAGACCCGGCCATGCATATAAAGCATTACGTGTCCGGATCCGGAGTCCCCAGCAGGAAGTGGTTAATGTTAATGCGACACTTAACTGAAATTGCATGTGACCAGACTAACAGTAACATCACACATCACGTGTCTTTTATTTTTTATTTTTTTCTCTCCTTTTTCTGTGTTTGTTTTGTTCTCTTTGTTTTACTTGTCAAGGTTTACTTGAAGGCATAAACATGAAGGAATGCTACACTTACATTGAGGAACAAATTGACCGACAGGTAACTTGAAGAAAGGAATAAAAGTATCTTGCTCTGGACAGAGAGCCTAGCAACAATGTCATCATTGCCAGGCCCTGGGATAGGTTTAAATGTAGTGGTTGACTGCGTACCCACAGCTTATAAATATGCATGCAGTGTAATTTCACAAGTCAGTGTGCTTTGTGGCAGTTTATAGAAAGGAAGGTCGTATCATTTGTTCTGAATCTCCAGAAAAGGCTGCTAAAAAGGGGAATTCATGCTCAACTCTGTTTAGGGCAGGTGGGGTTCTGTGCAGGATGTGGTAGAGAATGGTTGGACTGATGCTAGGCTGTGGTTTTGGTTTTGTGTGTGGAAGAGTTTTTGACAACTTCAGCAGTTTCTTTCATTCTGTTTTTCTTATGCTTCCAGGGAAGTTGGATGCAGGTAAAATTCCCGTCGAAACTCTAGTTCCCCTTGCATGGAAAATCTGCAGTGTTGCTAGTAGATTGAACACCCCCTCCCCCAAAAAAGTGAAGGATCAAACTTGTTGTTTCATATCATTTGCCAGAGGTTGTAATTAAAAGATGTATGACTTGTGGGCAAATACAGTACCAATGTAGTGATGACTTCAGTTTCTGTTCCCCCGCCCCCAATGAACTACCTCCAAATTGGTTACCAGTCCTTTGGCCACATTAGTGTCTGTGGTTTTAGTGTGCATTTGCTTTGTTTGTAATTTCAGATCCCCTGAATGGGTGTTATATGAGTGTTTATCATGCAGGGTTATCGTTTTGGTTATAGAGGAGCGTGTTTGCAATTTGTGGAGTGTAGATCATGTCACTTGTGGACATGGGGACATGTGGCCACAGAAATAGGGTTTGTAGCTTCCGATCCTAGGGTCTACAGTTCAAATCCTGGCAGTTGGTGATGTGTTGTGACCTTGGGCAAGTGGCTTCACCCCTGTGTGCCTCTCTCCACCCTGGAGTATATGGGTACCTGTGCTCACGGTCACCAATCGGATTTGGCTCCAGTCCTTTTGTTCACAGTGAAATGTACATATACAGTAGGCTGTGCATGTGTCTGGTGGCATAGTTTTGTGTGCAGCGCGTCTTGGTTGTTTCATTCCACTTTAAATGAATATGCCCTTAATCATCCCAGGCCTGACTCTGGCTGCCCATTTTCCAACCTTCCTCTGGCCTGCCCTCACCTGTCTTGGAGAGGTCGTATCATGTGTACATGTACATTCGCCCTCTGGCAGAGTTCATTGCCCCTCCCAAACTGCATCCCTGAATCAAGACTCCTGAGAATTGTGTGATGGAAAATGCAGGGACCGTCTTAATAGTTACCAGTCTCACAGAGTTGTGCAATCTCTTTTTGACAGTTGCGAGGTCATTGAGTTTGGGTTTGAGGACATGTACTTATTTGCAGATAGAGTCAGCTGGATTCACTTGACTTGGGGGGAATACAGTTCGTCCACTCAGTAGATCCACAAGGCTTGATATGAAATGATATGCTGTCCCTCATCTTCACGCCTAGGAGCAGGCATGGAACCAGTGACAATAGTTGTCACACTCCCATTAGCCAAGTTCAGAATCACATCCTGTAACATTTGTCCACAAGCAGACCCTAGGCAAGAAATCTTTGCTAACGCCGGAAAACTTTCCAAAAGGGGTTTATTTGTTGCGTATGTTGACAAGGTAAATTGGTGATAGGAGCGTGTCAGTCCACTATCCAAGGATTCTGTGATTACTCAGTGCAGAACTTTTGTGCTAGCTCTTGCAGAGCAAAGCATATTGATTATTAATCAGTAGTGTAGAATTCCGTGGTTACCAAAGCCATGGAATTGGCCACAGTACTACAAGGCGGATAACACCATCCAGTGCACTTTCATTTTTGTGCGAATTAATTCACAGTAGTATCATTACTGTTCGGTTACTGTTCTTAATAGGTACCTCCTGACAAGCTGCTTAGACTAATGTGCCTACTGTCCCTGACACAAAATGGTAAGTCCTTGCTGCACTACGCATGCCCACTCAATATTGCGGTACCTTCTTACAGGGTGTTTGTTTGCAGAAACTTTGATCTGTAGCAGTAAATCCAGGGGGAATATATCCTGCCCCATCATTTGACCAAAGGTGGATCGACCATAAGATTATCTCCCCACCCAGTCTAACAACTGGTTTTCTGTCGATGATTTCTTCATGTTTCCAAACTGCAGTACTTGTTCAGTTTTGAGGACTATTTTGGGGCATAAGTGAAATGAAATAAATGCTTTGGCAGTTTCAGTCATCAGGCTATGAATCAGTTTAATTCAGTTCTTCAATTTTGGCCACAAGCCACAAATTGCATCAAAGCCTCGGGCATGTTATTGTTCATCGGCCACTGCAAGTAGTGACAGTTCATATGAAAGTACATGTATATGTCCTTGCAAAAAGTAGTGTAAAGATTTTGTGAAGTTACTGAACTTAAATTACTTGCTGCCGGCTGGATTTTTCTTGAACAAGACAAGATGCCAGGTCATTTTCAAGATTTTCAGTTTTCAAATTCTTCAAAAATTTATCATTTCATTTAATGGCCGTTTATACTAAAATGGAAGACTCTTTGGGCACTACTCTAAAGCTGACAGGTAAAATTCATTGACTCCTGAATATTTCAGCCAGGCCTGCAGCCTTGGAAAAAGAGCCCAGATTGTGCAGGGTTACGTAAGATTTTTTTGCTCCCAAAACCGGCACAGTGCACTGCTGACCTCTTTTCAATAGGGGCCAGACTAGCATGCAGCGGTGCTGTGTGGCTCATCGCTGCGATGGTGGAGAGCTTTAGTCCCCGGTGGTAATCCGCTCGCTCTAAATGCCTCAAACCATGGTATACTGTTTCAAAGCAAGGCTGGATTGTCTCCACTATCGAGAGCGAAAAAATGTCGGTAATGCCCAGCAGCTCAGTCTTTTGTGCTGAGCACGGTCTTTTGTTATAAGGCCCAACTCTTTTGTCCCAGTTCCGGGCTCCCCGGCTCTGCATATAAAGCCTCTGTATCCCGAAAACGGGTCGCCTGGCAGGGAGTGGTTAACTCTTTCATCCTCCCCCCCCCCACACTCACCCAGGCCTCCCTAGCAAGGACTACCAGACCCTACAGACCCACTTCCTGCAGAGTCACGGACATAAGCATCTGCTGACCTTCTCCAACCTGCGCAAGCTGGGCATGTACACCGAGCAGCCCTCGGTGGAGGTCACTAAGATGACGGCCACTGACGTCCGCAACAAGATCACTGACAAGGCACTAATGAAGAAGACAGCCTTCCGGATGCTCTGTAAGAAGCTCACCCTGGTGAGTTTGGAGTTTGAACTCTGTTGAACTGTGTTGAACTTTGCATCGAAGGATGTAAATCCTGTATGTTAAGTCGTGCTCGTCACTGATGTAGTTTCATAGATATTGCGTGTTCAGTGCTGCCCGAAGGCCCATAAGATAAGTCACAAGCTTTACTTAAGTGGGACGCAAAGTCAAAACTTCTCACTGAATTTCCAATTTGTTTAACCACTTCCTGCCGGGTGGATTTCTCTTGAGCGGGATGTGATGTGATCTTTTCAAGGTTTTTCGTTTTCAAAAATCTTAACAAATTCATGTGTTCATTTACTGGACGTTTACACCCACATGAACGACTTTCTGGTGGCTACTCTAGTCTGTCAGGCAACCTTCATTGACGCGTGAGTATTCAACCCAAGCCTGCAGCCCTGTAAAAGAGAGCCCAGAATTGTGTGGTGTTGCATAATTTCCTTCGTTTCGGTGAATACCAGTAGCGTCTTTTCAAACACAGCTGGATTAGTGAGCAGCAGCGCTGTGTCACTCATCAATGGGGCCCTGGAGCACTTTTGTCTGCAGTGCTAATCCGCAGACGCGCTATTCCCAAAACAGTGGTATACTGTTTCAAAACAGTGCCCCACTGGAAGTCGAAAAATGATGGCAATTCCCAGCAGCAGGTCCTTTGTTCCGAGTACAGTCTTTTATTACACAGACCAGCTCTTTTGTCGGAAATCGGGCACCCCGGCTCTGCGTATAAACACACGGTGCCCGAAACCGGGCTCCCCAGTGGGAAGTGGTTAATAGGCTTATCTTCAGCTTTTAACGGACATTTAAGGCCCAAAAAATAAAGCTTGTCTCTGGTTAGACTGGTGTTCTGGAATTGATGCCATGGCACAGCTTTTTTTTTCCTCCAGGGTTGGATCGTACAGACAATTGCAGACACAATTTCGAGTCATGGAACTAGACCAGCTTTATTATGATTATAAGCTGACAACAACTTCATATCCATAGTCTGCTATCATTGTCCAACATCGATCTTGTTCGATCTTGAGGCAGTGCGGCAATAGAGGGCGCTGTTACAGTTCTGGCAGAGAAAAATCAGATCAACACGCATTCTTGAAATCGACATGCGCTGACCAGAGATGAAAGACTTTTTTTTTGCCTTACAAGATGTGTTGAGAAGGCAAATAAGTTTGACCAGTGTGATTGATTTTAATTGCAGCAATGAGAGATGGTGTTGAATTCAATGCTAATCAGTTATCAACATGTATTCGTGTAAAACTTATTTACCCTTACTTTGCTTATCTTTGGGCTCAAAACAACAGGTTTATCAGTGCCGCTGCACGTCTTTGTAAATCGAGAATGTTGCAGTATTTTCTTAGACTAGACCTTTTCTTCTATCGTGTCTCAGATTCCTAAGTCAGGAGAAGTCAATCTCAGAAGTCCCGAGGACATGTCCTATGTCTTCAGTGGCGCTTTCACTCCACTCACCTGCAGGCTTGTGGAGCAGGTAAAATTGTGAGAACTGGAATTTAACTCTGAGGGAGATTTTCCTCAGAGTTCAATTCTAGCCCCGACAAGTCATTAGCTCATAAACCAAGACTTCAGCAATGCAAAGGACCTTTGGAAAAGGCATTCCCTCTCAAATGATATCACCTGCCAAGTTGTGAGAGTTGTTGATACTCAAGGGATATATCCACCCTATCCTCGAATGTGGACCACCTGTTTGGAACAGGGGCCTGACCAGAAAACAGTGTGAAAGCATAGAAAAAGTTCAAAAACATGCTCTGTGCATTATTTTAGGCAAACAATACACTACGTATGTGGACACTTTAACCTTGTTTGATATCCAGACCCTAGAGGAAAGAAGAGGAACACTCTGTTACGCTTTTATAAGAAATACCCCCCCTTGCACAAACCAGTTCCAATCCTTACCCCCCTCCTGTGGAGAACAAAAGAACTCTCCGATATACAAATGTGATACCTGAACCATGTTGTCGAACAAACCAGATGAAAAACAGTCCCGTCCTTCACTTCTACGTAGTTAGAATTTCCAATGATTTAGTTGTTGAGTTAGGTTATTTAGAGGGTTAAATCTTATCGGTAAACCGGTATCATCATGCAGTATGTAATACTTCTACTGTGATAAATGATTTCAATTTCCATCGGACAATTTGTAAACAATACCCATTTCAGCCTTCAGGCTGCTATGTATTATTATTTCTCAATAAACCAATAATAAGAATAATTAATCTTCCCCTGTTGCTCTGATACTTATCAGGGCCGTACTTGTTTTTCGTTTATTTTATTGATTTCTGATTTGCGATTTACTAGTTTCAGCTTCAGTCGATGGAAGACTCGATCATCGCAGAGTCTCACAGTGAGGCAGAGTATTTTTGCTGGGGCTCACAAAGTCATTCATCCATCAGTCTTGCTTATAGAACTTACCGGTATTGCATCCCTTGGGGAGAAAGGTAATGGCATCATTCTTTTTGGCAGGTGCTGGCCAAAGGTGGCTGGGCAGGACTGGATGACATCACCAAGTTACTTCCAGTGCCAACGTTCGCCGAGCACAAGGCCCAGTCGGCCAAAGGTAGGTCAGCTCATCGGTTGTGGTCCAAGTGTGGTAGTGCAAGGAGAAAAATAAAACTGAAGCACATCTGACAGTATCAACGCTTTGCACCATTTCTAAACAATTTTTAGAAATCAAAGCAGCAGGGAAATTGTGAGACATGGTCCGAGAACAGTTTTAACTGTGACTCGACTAAAAAGAACAGGTTGTAAGAAGTACCTTAAAATGTGGGCCTTAAAACCTCGCCAGAGTGGCTTCGGTGTAAGCTTTCAACATGTTCACCCTGGGTGCTAAACTGAGTGATATGTCAAAATGAATAATTCTTCCACTGCAAAAGACTCATTTTGTGAGTTTTATTACAGCTACTCGGAAAGCATGTCGCAGTGTATGATTCGGAGAACTAATTAAGTGAACTAACTCAGCAAGAGATGGGTCAGTTTGTCATTTTCTTACATGTAGTTGCCATCCATTGTACTTTTAAAATGAGAACGGGAACAAGTGGCAACTTGTGGACTTTGTCATGGTTATACCAGATTAAACATGAATACAGTTGAACTTTGTTAATAAGACAACCGTTACTACAACATGTTGCTTGAAACAAGGAAAGTTTTGGGTCCCAATTCTTTGTTCTTCATTGCTTTCATCCCTGATAACACAGAGTTACTGTTACGATAACATAATTTGCAAAGCCCGAAGAACTTCTTATTAACGAGGTTCAATTGTATTATGTTGCTTTCAGCTCCTTAACCCTTAACCTTTGATCTCTTAACCAAGGTCACGCAGGCAGTGGACATCAACCAGTGTCACCTTCAGAAAAAGTAGTTCTGGTCTACTTTTTGGGCGGATGCACATATGCTGAGACGGCAGCGCTGAGGTTGTTGGGCAAAATCAAAGGTAGATGTGCTTCTCTGTGTTATCTAACCCCTGGTATTGTCTTGTGCAATGAAATGTTACAATTCGGATGTTAATGACTGCTTAGATGTAATTTTACTCGGGCAACAATTTGAACATCTTGACCAGGGTAAAGCTGGGCAAAAGTTATCCACTGATACAAAGGTATGGTTGCATTCTCTGTTTCCGCATTCACAGTGAAGTATCCAGCCATGATCTTGTGTTTACTTATCATTGCCCGGAGAGTATTGCCAGATACAAGGGTCAGGGAGCAGAGATGTTTTTTTTTTGTAGGTTTCTATTAAATTTCTCTTTTCACAAATTGCTTGTATTTAAAACCAGAAGTCAGGCGAGTGAATGTTATTTTGTTTTCTGTGGTGTAAATATTTAATACCAGATCGCATTAAAAAAAATGTTCAGAAAATTGGTCTGGTATCAGTGGCAAAATATTTTGTGAGTTCTAACAGTATACTTTTTCCCTTATGTAGGGTATCGGTTCATCTTTGCCACAACGGCCATCACCAACGGTGTGACTCTCATCGGTTCCATCAACGACGGCAAAAAATAAATCATGGCTTTGTGTCAAGGCCCGCTTGCAGAGCTATATACTGAGAGAGTCGCGCCAGCTTCAGATTTAACCACTTCCTGCTGGGGATGCTTTATATGCGTGCCCGGGGTCTGCGAACTCGGACAAAAGGAACAGGGCCTTGTAACAAAAGACCGTACTCGGAACAAAAGCCCAGGCTGCTGGGAATTACCAACATTTTTTTCACTCTCAATATTGGAGATAATTCAGCCTTGTTTTGAAACAGTATACCACGGTTAGGGGCATTGAGAGCGAGCAGATTACCACTGGGGACAAAAGCGCTCCACCACCACAGCGATGAGCCACACAACACCGCTGCATGCTAATCTGGCCCCTATTAAAAAGAGGTCAGCAGGGTACTGAGCCAGGTTCGTGAGCAAAAGAAAGTTATATAACACCGCACAATCTGGGCACTTTTTACAAGGCTGCAGGCCTGGCTGAAATACTCGGGTGTCGATAGATTTTGTCTGTCAGGCTAGAGTGGACACCAGACAGTCCTTCACGTGTTTGTAAGTGTCCAGTAAATGAAGATGGGAATTTTTAAAGAATTTTGAAAACAGAAAAAAATGATAAATATCCCGCCCCAGCATCATCAACATTGATAACTGCCTGGCAGGGAGTGGTTAAGACACAAAATTATGTGTAGAGTGTGGGGCTATTCCATACCAACTGTCCATGTACACCAGCGCACACACCTGCCAGTTTCCTTTCCAACAATGGCAATTCTTATGTCGCAACTCTCTCTACGTACAGCTCTGCCCACTTGGTGTGAACACCTCCCTCTGTTGCCAGCTTCCAGTTAGTGTGCCAATGAGGGAACAGCACTGAAATTTTGCGTGAAAACTATAGCAGCTTGGTGACCTATAATCTGGTTGGGGGGTTTTGTTGAGCCCATCACAAGTTATCCATTCTGTGAGCAAAGTCACAAGCTATTCAGATGCACTGTGGAAAAAGCATTCTTTTGTCTGTCATTGTTCATCCTACGACTTGTGAAAGGGTTTTTGAAAGGATTTGTCACTGTACTTGCGATGGACTCAACTACAGCCCTAGCTAGGTTGATGTGAATGTAATTGAAATGCTTGCGCCCTAATAGTGGAGTATCTTCTTCTGTCATACCCTAGTAGTAAAGTTCAATCAGGCTTAGGCCTGTTTCATTTCAGTACGCACTTCAGCTTGTGCTTCCATTTTGTCTTTAAAATATTTATTCTTTCGAGGAATCATGATTTAGAAATTCAGCAGCAGCTGACGCGGCATTGTATGTATGTAGTTAGGGGAACTCTCAGCATTTAGTCCTTGGATTCACTGGAAGTTTTATGCAAGGTTATTATGCAACTAGCAAGCGTTCTACTGATCAGAGTTCGTCAAACTGTGGTGAAACACATTCCCTGATTGGACTGAGACTTGCCCATTGCTTTGTCAGTATTGCAGTATTTGGAATGCCTATCTTGTTATCCAGATCACATATTTAAACGTCACTCACTTCAGTCTTTTTGCCTTTTTTTGATTCAAGTGAAATGAAAATTGATAGAGCAATCAAAATGTGCAATATCAGTAATGGCAAAAGTAAAGAGAGTGGTACCATTAAGGTAAACCATAAACTTGTTAACAGTCCTATATTCTATAAATGTTTAAGTCACTATATTTTATATATAATGAAATTTGGATTAGTTAATTGTCTCTTTTAATCAGTTTATTCATTTCCATCAGAAATTCAAAATTATTTCAGTTTAGTCTAATTATTAAATGCAGCAATGTATTAACATCAACATGAAGAACAATTTAAAAATGATTTCGTACAAAATTTAAAATATTGACAGAATGAAAGCACACATAGTGAAAAGATGTCCACACTTTGTATTATCTACTATTCAGCCTAGTTGGTGACACATTTCGTCATCATTTTCACAAAGAGACAAATATGACCCAAAATCATCATTTTTTCAAATTTCTGTGTTTTGGCCAAATCACGCTACCTGATGGCGACAACTTGGTGCAATCATTTTGACGACTAAATCTACCAAAATCAGCCAATTCATGATGATCTCCACAGGGCAAAATTGAACTACATGTAAATTGTAAATTTTTCATAAAGAGGCAAATGTGCCCTCCATAGAAAAACGTTACGCAGTGATGGGCGAAACTCGCCCCACCTGAGTTTTGTAACACTGCCGACTCTGGAACTACAACAAATGTAATAATCTGGCACCTACCGCACAATCACAGGCAACGGTTACAGCATGCACATTGCTGACACCCTATCCCTGGTTTTTGAGATTTCATGGAGGGAACAAATTTTTTTGCTGAATCCTTAATTACAGTCAAATTAAGCATTGAACAGTATGATTTCATGTATTTTTGGCAGTTTAAGATATGTGCATTTGCTGAGTATTTTAATAATTATAATGTAATAATAAGCCACTTGTGAGTTAAATGTAGATAAAATCTGGTACACTGTGTTATCTGATTGCATAGAAATGTAACAATTTGAATTCCCCAGACTAAAGATTATGTTGCTATACCTCGTGACTCGGGGCAAGCTTTTGCATAGCAACCACCATCCCTGGAATGGACTGGTTCCTTTGTGCCCTTCTGATCCATTGAAAACAGTGTATTATTGTAAGGCGTCTCTTATGTAACTAAGCAAAAGCTTGCCCCGAATCACAAGGTATAGCAACAGTGGTTTAAGTATGGATAGTTCAAGTTGTTATGTTCACATGAATTTAAAGAACTCAGTGTACCACATTTTATTCAAATTTAACTCACAAATGGCATATTGGCCAATAATGTAATACCAGTCAATAATGTAATAATGTAATGCCTCAGTGTTATTGCATTATCAACCAGTGGGTTATTACATTACTTAGTCAGCCGATTTTATTTCATTATGGGTCACTTGGGTTATTACATTATCTGCTGATTATTACATTATCGGCCATAACAGGTATACTTAATTTGAAATTAATCTGTACAAATTGCCTGTTTTAAAAAGTAACCAGTTTTAAATGTTTTTTCCAATGTTCAGTTTTACGATGCCTAGATAGATCTATCTTTTTTGTGAAAATGATGGCAATGTGCCCAACACATCTCTAATATTACTCCACACTTAATAGTCCAAGTTTTAAACTTATTTGTCGTAACGTTTTGGGTTTTTTGTTGGGAAAACTGTACGGGATATATTGAAATAAACTCTTTATATGAAAAAGTTGGAAACAGTTTGAAAGACCGTGAGTTTTCTTTTTCTAGTGACTCTGCTCTTTTTAGCCATTAAAAAATACCTTCAACTTCGAAGGACAATGAAAACGTTGCCCACAGGAAGCCCCATGGGTTTGGCCAATTTTTCAGCCAAATATTGTTCTCATCAAATGCCTCAGCGTATGCTCACATTGATATGGAAATACTCGTAGGATAAATACCAAAAAGGCAGCAAAATACTCAGTCAATATTGACACAAGATTGAAAATATGATTAGCTGAGGTGCAAAGGTGAATTTTGGAGTTAGAAAAAAAGCACTACGGAAATCTTTGAAACAAGATCAAAATGTCACTGGCTGGCAGGCATCCTTTTTGATGAAAGAACATGGACTATTTGGTAATCTTTGATGCCAAAGTAAGTCATCATATGGCTGGCAACATTTTCTGAAGCGAACACCTCTGGTAACTAACATCATTATTGACGGTTCACTACTATGTCCAAAATGTGAGCATCACACATGCCAGCAAGTGTACAAAAAAAGACGGATGCGACGACAAACATCACATCATGTGTCATGACCATGCTGCGTTAGCATAGTGCACACAGATTTCCACCAACTCAGAAGTCAACTCACAACGGCAATGAGCTATGAAAAAAGTTCAGCTTAAATAACACCTCTTGTTCAGCAAAAATATTTTACAGTCCGAGTGACAAATACAAAGATAGAAAAATATGTGGTTAAAAACTCTACATAATCACCAGAGCGAAACAGCCTTCAGTGTTTTGTGCTAGATTTGAGTATAAAAATATCTGGAAACCAACATTACAGTTAAAAAGAGGCCAATCTATCAACCTGCTAGGCCCAAAGCTTAAATCAACAGAGATATGCATGTTGAGCAAAAGTGGTTACCTGTGAAATATGTTGCACTGTGCAGAGCACCTATGACTGGCTCACAGCTTTATTTCCCCAAAGCTAATTTCTGTACATAGAACATGGCTCCTTAACAAGTTGAAGACCTGTTACTTTCAATATATATATATCTTCAATCTACACTGAGATAGCATGTGTACCTTCAGTTTTCTGTGCAGACAAATTCAACCTGTGTGTTGGGAAAAGTCGGGAACGCAATGTCAAAATAGAGAACATGCTTTCCCCAGTATGCCACTTGCATTGTTCATGTTTCATCTAAGGAGGCCCGGACTGCTGTCTCGATAGCAGACACTAAGGTTATCTTGTCGTTCTCATCTTCAGCTGAACAGACCCAGCGACGCTTGGGTGTTTGGAGAACAAACACATGCTGAATATCTGTAAAAAAAAGACACAGGAGGTCTGCATGTGTTTGCAGCTTGCTTTAGCTCAACCAAGAACTCGAGCTTATCAACAGTCCATGGTATACTAAATGCAACCCCACCCAGTCCAACCAAACCCAACCCAACCAAGCCCAATTAACCCCACCCACTCCAACCCAGTCCACCAAAACCCAACCCAATCTAATCCTACCCAACCCAGCCCAATTCAACCTCATCCTTTCCAGCCAAGCCCAATTAACCCAGTCCACCCAAGCTCAACCTAATCGAGCCCAATTAACCCATCCCAACCAAACCCAGACTAGCCCAATCCAATGAACCCAGACTCACCCAGTGAAGCCCCACAGGGCCCAACCCATCCAAAAACGAAACCCAAGCCAGCTTAATACCCCAACCCATCCAAAGTCTATTCGTGAGTGGAATCACCTCAACCAAGACCTACGCATCGCCCCCGACGTCAAGACTTTTAAAGCCAAGTTAGAAACCATTAATATCAAGACACTGGCTTCAAAGGCCAACTCACAACATTTAGTCACGACTTTGCACATGACCCCCCCAACGTATGCGACAACCAGCAATGGTGTTTGTACGTGAATGGACAGATACAGGAAAACGAAGCCCAAGCCAGCTTAATACCCCAACCCAGCCAAGAAAAACTATTAACCCAAACTATGTGCAAGTGCAATTCCGAACTGTAGCTAAGTAATACAAAGTAGACCAACTACTTGAAATTCTTTCTACTCACATTTGGAGTCCGGCAACTCCTGCACCAGTAACCGTGGCAATGCTACCGACGAGTGGAAGTGGTACAGTGCCTCAGTCTGTCGTGTGTATGGCAAGGTTTTAATAGTTCGTATGGTCACCATCAGTGCATCGTTGAAGAGAAAGAGCCCCAGGTCCGATATGTGCTCATACAGGCTACAACAAGAAAACAAACAACATCAAGCATGTCCTCTTTTTAGATTACATTCTATTATGTGGTTCATTTCTTGTGAAAAACTTATCAACTTCAGACTTCAATGTTCTATGGTTATAGATATATAAGGCAAGAACAACTAGAACTGCAGTGGAACCACGCTCCCATGCAGGTGAGGTACAGGTGTTGGATATCTCTTCAATCAACAGGGAGTTTCAATTTCTAAACTGTATGAGTGTCTCCTCAAGTCTAAACGCGAGTGTGCGTGTGGTACCATGGCAGCTAGTGTAATGGCTTCTCATCAGATTAGTCCACGTGCAACTGTTGGGTACCAGATCACAGTGCACAGTGGTCGTCATGAGAACAACGACTGTCCCATCCAAAGTCCGCAGGCCCTGATAACATGAAAGGATATACTGTCGGTCTGACATCACACACAAGCTTCACCTTTGTGATTTGAAATTGAAGCTGTTTGGCTGGGTGAAGATTGTCGAGTGCTTGACTCAGACCTCAAACATACCTACCAACACTGCAAGTCAGAAATCTGAACACCCATTACAGGAGCCCAAAAGAAAACAAGCCATTTTAAGCTATTTACATGTGTGACATGCATGTAGGTGTAAAGACACCATTACTGACATTGTAAATAGAACCTTTTTTTCTAA